CCCCCCCCTGCCATGCTCGCCTGGGGTGCAAGCAGCGGCAGGAGCCACCTTCCCCACCCCCCGAGTAGTGGTTCTGGCCCCCCCCACCCCACCTGAGCAGCACCTTCCCCTGCCTCCTCCTTCACTGTGGGGGACATTGATCTGCCCCTCCCCCACGCCTCTTCCCTCCACCCTCCCGCACCAGACTTACCAGCTGGAGGCAGCTCTCCATGTTGCTGGATGTGCTTCTCGCTGCCTGAGTGCTGCGCTGTGGCTGTGCACAGCACAGGCATTTATCGGGCCACTATCTGATACAGCCAGTTTACTTTGTATCGGTATCAATCTGATATCGGACCGATGAGCACCATAGATTCTTCTGTGAATCCTCTGTTTGTTCTCCTCCCCCAAAGCTTCCTTAGCCCATCAGTCTTACAGGCAAAAATACTCAAAGCACAAGCTCTCCCTTAGGTGTTGATTGGTGTAGTCCAATGAATTTATTAGTCTTATGCCAGTTCATACTTGCTGAGATTCTGTCCCAGAACACCAAAGCACTGAAACCTGAAGGCAAAAGGTTTACTGCATGTTCTAGGATGTACTGAACCATTAAAAAAATTGAAAGCATTCTATAAATGAATGGAAATGCAATGTTCCTTTGCTCTGTGTGCAGAGACCATCATAGTCCTGTGGAATGACAACCCTGAAAATTTTACTTTGCCGCAGTGAAAGTCATTGAGACCCATAGACTGAAATCATAGAGTATTAATTTAATTCTCATCTCATTTCATCTCTTCTTTTAGCGTGTCCTCTGCTAAACAGATATTGGGCATGTGTCCCCAAAGCCATGTATCCCTACAGCATACTTAAAGAATGCAATATTGTTATGTGTTCATGGGCCACTCCATTAACATTTTCACAAGGATATTCTGAATTTTTTAAAAATATTGATTTCGGTATCCATTGAAAATAACAAAAATAAGGAGAATAAGTGGGAGAATCAGATCAGGACCTCAGTGCACCTTGCCAATTGTAAAAGGCAGCCTCTGCCCCAAATAACTTTAAAGCCTAACTAGGTAGAACATAGGAAGA